CGACTAAAAATTACTCTAAAAGCAATTTTATTTAAAACATTTATGATGGTTTTTTTCCTGCTCACTGATTATCTTTTTGCTATATGATAAAACGATTAGAAATTTTGACGAGAATAAATGGGAGTATGGGTACTGGAAGTAGAGATTAGATAATGTCATGCTAGAAATAAAAGTTATAAGATTAATAAAAGCCGCTTATAATAATCATTTCTTCTTTCTTGTGACTGTTGATGATCCAGGAACATTTTTTTCGGCCTGGTTTTCTTCCTGCGCTTTGTGGAATGTTGAAGTTACGCCTCGGTTTCGAAGCTGCAGAAGTATAGTTATAGTAGTTGTCAATAATTTCGTTGCGCTCTTCAACTTTTTTAGCAGACCATATAGGTGAGTCACAGACAAACCTATAAATATTCGAGTAATAAGTTATAATAATGACTACAAATGTCTACCTGGAATAAGGAGGTACTAGTTCTAGCTCTCCAGAATCATACAGAGCTCTGATGTATTCATTTTTTTGACTTGTTATTAGTTGTCCGAGAATATCGATGATTTCGAATAAAGAGCGAAGCTCCCAATTCGTTTGATTCTTGAAACTATGATTCATAGACTCAATGTCATTGTTGTAAAACAGAGGAGGAGAACCATTTCTATCGAGGAAATTGATGGGTATACGAATCGCAGCTATTAAATGATTACGAAAAATATTCGTTTGATACTGATTGAACCATTGATAAAAATCTGCAGCACCATTAAAACGAGTTTGATCACGTCTTTGGATCGTTCTCCAATATTCACTTAACTGGTTCAACCTGTCTTGAAATTCTTCTTCTGTCTCTGACTGAATAAGAGATTCAGAAGAATCAAATACGAGTTCCAATAAACCAAGACGTTCATCTAATGTCGTACGACATTTCATCAATTGCCGTTCAATGTTTTGACGCACATGTCGTGTACAATAAAGATGGGTTGAATCCGGAAAGACACTGTCCACTGCCTTTTTAATCGCTTTTGCTCCATCACTCCCAATCACGAGTGTACTACAATCGCCCAGTTCACGACGCACATAATCCAATAGCTCCTGATACGACTGTGCATCATCTCGGTAATGAATCATTGTCGGTCCAATAAAAATCGGTGCCTTCTTGGTTTTTCGGTATTGAACGACTGTGTTTCGAAATGCTATTGGTGTGACGAAAAAGCGACCAAGATTAAATGTTGTATCAATACCTATTCAGGTTAAAAATAGATTGCTATTAGAAAAGTAAAAGTGAAAATTACATAATACTGATGGTTGTGTTTGATCTGAAGCATTGATACAGCACCGTTTTAATTCTTTAATCATATATGGTTGTGATAACACCAACACTGGCGCTTCTCCTCGACTGATCAAAAAACGAGCCGCGATGCTGTTGGACTTTTCTAGGTTTCTCATAATAGCTACATATTCGTCTACGTTGGAATCACTTTTTTGCCGCGCATTGTATACTTGATTACAATCGCGAACTGTTGTTAACGATGGTAAGGAAACTTCTTCAACATTATTAATTGCTGTATTGTAGATGGTTGAAGGTTTCAGATAGCGCGGGTGTGACTATTTATACACAAGAAATAATTCAGCAGTGGCCGGATTCCATGAATTCAGAACTCCTGGGGAACTCTTGGGAACTCTTGCAATTCTAGGAAACCCTGGGAACCTTGGGAACTCTTGGAACTCATCCAACACTTGGAACTCTTGGAACTCTAGGGAACCCTTGGGAACTCTTGGAACCCTGGGAACTCTTCGAACTCATCCAACACTTGGAACTCTTGGAACTCTTGGAACCCTAGGGAACCCTTGGAAACCCTTGGGAACTCTTGGAACTCTTGGGAACTCTTAGAACTCTTGGGAACTCTTGGAATTCTTGGAACTCTTGGAATTCTTGGGAACTCTTGGAATTCTTGGGAACTCTTGGAACCCTTGGGAACTCTTGGAACCCTAGGGAACCCTTGGGAACCCTTGGGAACTCTTGGAACCCTGGGAACTCTTGGAATTCTTGGAACTCTTGGAATTCTTGGACTTCTTGG